AACACAGAGTCCACACCCCAGTCACAGAAATGTTTTACAACAGTAGATTTTACAGATTACAGTCCATTAAAATTATTCACATTGCATATATATAGATGATATTTAAATAATAGTATGAGGTTGTTTGCCATAGTGAATAATTTCAAAATTTAATCACAAATATTTGTTTTAAAAATTCGAAACTAATAATTTTCAAATTTTTGTGTTGTTAGGCTTCACGAAACTTTTTGGTAAACTTTTTCTTGGACGTTCTATTTGAGGAAATATAGCTCGTATGGAATTAATGGAAACCAGAAACTCTAATATCATATTCAAAGTGTAATGCAATGGCCATGAATAGACATCGACGAAAGGATATTATGGATATTATGACACTATAGTATCATTGACAAATGCACTTTGTCTTAGCAATATGTGCCGATATCGATATCGTTCTTTATTGTTCTCGCACGTATTCGTTTCGTTCCCTTTCTCTTTTCTACACCAGCTTGTATCGTGTGTAGTTCATCAAAGATTTTATCATTATACCATTATATTGACGTTCCAAAAGCCTACACCGTATTGAAATGGCAACAAGTTACATATATCCGATATATAGGCAATAGATTGCAAGTACTATGATAAATAGGCTGAACATTTTAAAAGAGAATACTAATATTATTCTACTGATGAAATTTGAACTAAGTTTACTCACGCGCAAATCTACTAGATATCATCTTTTCATGAAAATGTTCCCCTTTTGGAACTCAACCCCAAACAAGCATTTCTTTCAAATGTATGTATCTTGACGAGGATACGTTCACTCTGGTTCAATCTTTGAATAATTTCTAGTAGGTCTAGGATCTCTCTACGCATAAGATTTTAGTTCGATATTCAATCGTTCAGACTCTGAGCAATTCTATGCTCATAATTCGATTAGTGAACATTAGAAAACCAAACTACAACTGACTTTCTCGCTACTGTTCATAATCAATCGAATCGTCATAGTTTCAAACGAAAAAATAGTTTAACAATTGAAAACGTTTCATCGTCGACTTCATTGAAAATTTGAAAAAGAAAATATAAAACAATGATTCATGAAAGAATTAAACAATAGAAACATTTCTTTAAAACACGACATATCTTCCACAACTTGTGAAAGCACAATGTATAACTTCATCCGTTCTTAGAGATATAGCAATTCAATACTAATGAAAAATAAAGAAAACTCACTCTTACATAATCGCTCCAGCAATAGACCTATTTCAGAAGATTCTAGGAGTTTTCCATGTTCGAAGTTACTGATTCCTTTTCAAAAACCATTCATACTTTTAAAATATGTTACAACAAATATTAATGTGTCATACTTTATAATAATGCGAGCAGTAGGTTGTAAGAACCAGATTTATACACAATCTTCTACACGAATTACAAGAGTCAGCAGAACAATTATGAGGTTATACATAAAAATAATAGAACAATTCTTCTGGTAGTTTTGGCCGTAAGTTTGTAGTTACCATCAATTTCGAAATATTTCCATCACGGTTTGTCTTTCAAAGAAACTGTCGAATATTATTGCTTTTTTACTACTACAATAAAATGAATCGACTAACGCCCTCTTCCTAATCCTCTATAGCCTTCGTCTATATGTTGTCACTTTCTTGGACCAATCTGCGTTCGGCTTACGTTGTTGATGTTTTTTAGCATGGCTTCTGTGAGATATTAATTTTATAAATGATTTTAATCAATTAATATTTAGTAATGGTTAATTTTCAAATTTGAAATTATGTGTATTATTCATTTTCTTATTTACGTATTTATGAATTCCACTGTCTTTGACAGATTATGCTATTAATTTTCTTTAAATTATACATTACAATATTCTCTATATTACCATTATCATTCAATATTATGAATATATTAAAAGAATCTCTATTTTCTTCTGCAAATTCGAATTCTAAAACAAAAATTAGACGAACACGACAAAATCATTCAAAAACTCATAACTCTCAACAAGAAAGTATTGCCTTATCTCAACCACTTTTATCTGCATCTGAAATAGATAATCATAGTATTGAATTAGGAACGATTGATTCAGACGATGATGATGATAAAACAAGTTTAAATACTCGACATATTATCCGTTCACGTAATACAAAACAACAACCAATATCAGTAGCACATGGTGGTGGTTCAATTGTTATTGTTGAAAAACCTATACGACCACAAGAAACTATTCAAGCATTTGCTATTCGATATCGAGTACCCGTATGTTTCATAATCTTATTTTTTGAAGGTGTCTGAAGTGTAAAATTAAAGTAGAATTTTTTTTTCTCGTTTCTTTTTATGTGCTTAGATAGAGAGTATGACGAGCTAGTTAAGAATATGTGTTTTCAATTTTTTAGAATGATATTGTTAGAGGAGAGTTCGATTTTTTCATTTTCTTTAACTTTCAAAACTGCTGTGTTTCAGATCTAGTGTGAAAAAGTGAATCTAGAAAAGTTATTTATAATTGACCTTCCTAGATTCAGTTTTTCACGTTAAATCTGAAACAAAACAATTTTGAAATTTAGAGCAAATGAAAAAATTGAAAGCTCATATATTCTTGATCAGTTCATCACACTCTATCTAACTATATACAAGAAAAAGAAAAAAAAACCTTCTGCTTTAATTTTGCATTTTTGGCATTTAACTAAAAATGAAGATTATTCTCTGTTTTTGTCTTCTTAGGTATCTCAGTTAAAACGTTTAAATAATTTACAAAATGATCAAGATTTTTATGCCCTTACGTATTGTCGAGTACCTGTACGTCGTTTTGGTTTACTTCATGAATCATCATCGTCATCAGCATCAATAGTTGTTAATTTAAATGATCAATCAATAACAAATACATCATTATCAATACCACATTCATCTCAAGAAAATCATCATGCTTTTTTAACTGCAATGGATAAGGACTTAGCATCAATGCGTACTAAAGTTGAACAGTTAATTGAAACACCAACAACAGCATTAATACCTGATCAACCCACAACGAAAATGATGATACGAACGACAACAAAACCTATTAGTGAATTGAATTGTGATGGTGCCGATTGTGGCTGTAAATTTTGGCATATTGTTACAGTTATTATTCTTATTGCGCTTCTTATTCCACTTATTTATATTTATGTTTATATTTAATATCTACCTAATACAACAGAACATTTTCCATAATTGATTTATTTAATTTTTGTTATTAATATGTGATGTGTTTTCTTTTCTGTTTCAATTTTACGTGATTTTTGCATCTGTTATTCATTCATAGAAATGTTAATGATAAAAAAAAAGAACTGATTAGTTATCTATGAATTTGAAATGATATTAAAAAACGGTTCATTTCTTCTTTCAACATTTGGATTCAGATCTTCAAATAAAAGTTTAGATTTGAATATCTCTTCTTTAGTTACTCTTTCATTGATAAATAAGAATAATTTTGAGAGATTAGTCATGATCTCGATAATATCAATTTATAATCTCTTGTCGATAAATGATTTGTCTTGATTTTTATAACATGTGAAAGAAATTAGTTTAAAAATATATTTATTCTCATGAATATTTTCTTCTATAGAAGATAAGTCATAAATGAACTATACGAACATTTTTGTTCAATCAAACATGTTGATTTTATTCTTTTAGTGATACAGACCTAGTTGAAATTATTTTATAGAGACAATATAAGTAAATACTTTTCATTAATAGTTTTTAGTAGTCTCCGACCAAGACAACATAATAGATGTGACTCATGAATGAAGTTGGTATTTTGCCAATATATAGGTCTCGTGGATCATAAAATGTCCTGAAAGTTTTAGCCTAAATGTATGTACTGTTTCTAAGATATCAAATGTTGAAAACACTGGACTTACATACCTTTAGTTGTGACATATGATTGTTTTTTTTTGGATATTCAATATCTCAAGAGCAACACATCTTCCATGCCATGTTTCACAAATACTTTGTCAGAAATGAAAAAATTCAATAAAATTGTAATAACCTTGGAAGAAGAATCTCGTAAGGCTAAATCTTTTAAACTTCTACTAGTCTCATTAGGACCTACTTATAGGCAAAATATTATTCTGAATGACGAATCACATGTGACGAGGCTCCCTCGTAATACTAGAACAAGAAAAAATAAGTAGTCATAATTATATCACTATCAATGTACATAGAGCTGCACTTTACAACCAGCTACTAAAAATGTTTCAATTCGTGTCTAATAATTCAAATGTATCCTAGTAGTGTTTCATGCTTAAAAAATTGGAAATATTGTAACGCTTGACTATCAAACTAACCAGTTCGAAAAGTTTATGAATAACTGTGGAGATTTTAACTTTTACAATCTTTTCTCTTTTTGTCTTATGCTTTCCATATCACAGAATTATTATATGATAGCATTGCATATGAAGTAAAAACGAAAGAATCGTAGATGTAAAGGTTTATGAATATTCATAAGCTGTCTGGAGTATGAATGAAGAGAAAATCCATGTTCTCGTTAATCGAAAGTTGATGCTGTGCAGATAGAAAGAAAAACTCAGCAAGAAAACCACACTTTTTTCTTTGATTGCTTTATGAGTTTAGAAGTTATATGTATATTTTCTTAGACAATTTTGCTAATCTATAGTGGTGTAATTTTTAGAATAAGTAATCATAAAGATGTATTTATGGAATAAATATGAAATCAATGAACAATGACAAAAAGAAATAATAAAAAAATAATAAGGTGTATTATTTACGTTATTTAGAAAGATATGCGAAAAAAATTCATAAAGAATGTTTTTTATAACAATTATTAATATCCATAGAACCCAAAACCATAACCATAAGGGTTATATGCATAAGGCATGCCATAGCCATACATTCCAGGATAACCGTACATAACATCAGGAGGACGACCAATAATATTATCACGATTAAAGTCAATATGTGTTGCTCTTTCTAATCGACTCATAAAGCCTTTATCAAAAATAAAGAAAACAACAGTATTAAAAAATAGAAAACGTATTTGAAAGTTTATACCTTGTCCTCCAATATATCCATCACCATTCAAATCGAAACCTAAATTACGTTCAAGACGATTTACGAAAAAATCTATTCAAAAAAAAAAAACAAACAAAATATGAATAAATGAAAAGAGATTTATAAATGACTTACTCATTTTTATATTTGTTCACTAATCAATGTAGAAAATATAAAATATAATATGTGATAATTTTTTGCATTAGTTTGAAGCATTATTTATATGATAGTGTGACCCTGTATAACGAAAATAGCTTTGTTTATTTGACGTAATGATGACGTATTTCGAATGACGTAGAAGGTCGTTAATTACTCATGGTCGGTACAGGCGTATAAGTAATATGAATATATGATATATTTAGGTATACTCTATTTTCCTTGAAAAAAAAAAGAAGCATTACTCATTTGAAAATTAAGATATTTTTCTTTATTCGTTTTAGCAAAATGACATACATCATCAAATGATATTTTATTCAATAATCAATTTAATAAATTTTTATAAAAATAACAAAGATTGCATTTTAGTTAGATCGATGTGAATTCAGGGGTGTCTCGACCAGCGGGCGGGGGGGGGGGTGGGAGGGTGAGCCCCCAATGTTGAAAAATTTTCTTTTTCCCCAGCAAAATTTCAACATTTTTTCGGTTTTTTTGCTCATTAGCTCTCAAAAAAACCTCCCCCCCCCCCCCCCCCCAAAAAAAAAATCAGGTCTCTTTTAGAAAAAATTTTTTAATCGGTTTTGTAGATAATCGCTGCTCTCCTCCACCCCCAATCTTGGCAACCTCGGGACACCCCTGTGTGAATTAATAAAATAAATAAGCGATAATAGCTGACAAATCATTTTTGTTGAATTAATAGTCTAAATGCACTGTTTTAACATGATACATTTCTGTTTATTTGATATTCATCAATTACAAATATGAAAAATGAAGCTCAATAAGTCAAAAAAACAAACTTAGTTCCGTTATTGGATTGATATACTTATTATTCTTTGACAGAATAATAAACAAGAGAATTAATATGAATTTATTTTAATTTTTAGAAAAATTACTGGGTATTATAAAAGTAGACATGCTTAAAATACGCAAAAAAAATATTTTCGATAACAATATATGTGTTGTCGATAAGTTGACATGAATAGATAATTACATATTGTTTCCGGTTGACGGATGTCTATTTTTTGACATCAATTCAAATATTAGAAAAAAAGAAAAAAAATAATTATATATAATAAGATTTATGAGGCATTAGCAAGCTTACACACATATAAAATAATACACATATTCAATGCAAGTTCAATGATTCCGACATTCCTATCCTTGAATTTCCGGCATATTCTCGCCGGAAAGATGCTGTTTCCAATAGAAAAATTCGAAAGAATGGTAGGAACTTAGAAGCAGAAATCCGGTCGCCGAGTTCTTTCTGTTCCGGTCGTAACCGGGTAGAGATAGTCACCGAATTCCTACATCGAAGTTAAAACTTTTTTTTGAGTTTTCCTAGTCGAACAACACTATTACATATTGACCTGAAATGTAAAATCTACAATTTTCAAGATTAATATTGATGAGTTTAAAAGTAAAATTATCGATTTTCAATAATATGATTTATTATAAATATAAAATTTATTGTTATTTATTTGCATTGCTATCATTCTATGATGTATTAATCTTATATAAATAATATTGTCAAGTATTGATGAATCAACATAGAAATATGTATCTGATTGATATTTCTTTAACTTTGTATTTTCATCATTGTTAATTTTTTTTCTTTTTGTTAAATTCATGACAATACACTATTCAATAAATCTTGAATACACAATTTATATTCTTTGAGAATGTAATTGAATAGATGACAATACAATATACAATACAAATGTGAATTATACTTTTTTTCAATTTCTTTCACATGGACATCTTTCTTTTTATGTCAACACTGCAAATAGTTTATCATGAGATGAAAACTATATCCCTAATGAAAGTACTCATCAAGCGTGCATGGCTTGCCAGCAGGAGTGCTCAAATTACTTGCATCAGCACTTGAACGATTTTATATGCATGAATACTATTCGCGTACTCGGATGAGTCTTTCTCTAGAGATATTCTCGTTGGCAACGATGTGACTTGTCAATGTAATACTTATATTCGTTTTTCGCTGAATATTTAGCAAAACATTTATATTCTTGTATATACAAAAATAGATTGAAGCTATTTAATTAAGAAAAATGACATAATATAGCGTAAAATGGAAAGAAACTATTTTTAGTTTATCTTTTATTCTTAGCCGATGAATCATTTATATGATTTTGTTCAAGTTTGACATTCAAAGAAAAACTAATATATACATTTTTCATTTAATGAAGTGTTAATTCATCAAGTGAGAGCAAATGTTTGTTTACATATGTCAACAGACATTTGTTGAAATTTAATTTTCTAAATGGAAATAAAAAGTTCCATATTAAGAAACTGATGTTCGGGCTAACTGTAGAATACCATGAAGCAAAAGGAACTCACAAGTATTATTACAAGCCGATTACGATTTAAAATCATCAAGACACATAGACAATATTATAGACACATCATTTTTTTTTGATAATTACTAAAAAAACCTACAGATAGTTATAAACATAAAAATGTCTATTTGATTGTTTTTGCGCAATGAATCGATATAGCATGTTTATTGATAATGAGACTTTTGTGTTTCACAAAATATTCGATTATACATTGTTTCTTTTCTTATATGATTATGTGTTTCAATATACTCTTGCGTTATGAGACAGAGACGAAGAAATCGTTATCATTCATGTAGAAATTTTGATGTCTTAAAAGACCAAAGAAAAGAATAAAGTTAAAAAAAACATTCATTAAATACACAATAGATATAGAATTGTAGAATAGAAATTATTAATAATTATACGGAACTAATATTGATCAGAGATGTTCTGAGGTCTTAAGGACCGGGAGGAAGGAAGTGATGACTCAAGGAACTGATTGGAAAAATTTTGCTTAAATTGACCGAATTTCGGATGAAATTGAGTATTTTTTTTTACAATTGGTGAACCAAAAAAAAAAACAAATAAAGCGCTGGAGAAAATGTATGAAGATTAGAGGTGAGCCTGCGAGCTCAAGACACAGCTGATGATCATGCAACTGTACTGTGTCCTGTGAGTGAGAGTATTCATGAAGCAATTAGTATTATATGTAAAATGATCAACTGTCATACTTAGATTTCAGTACGGATACTACAGATGAGTACTTTCATCAGGATAAATATCACGTAAACTGTGTTAATATTGATTAACTCAATATAAACTTGAAAATATAAGACCAAGAAAAAATGTTTTCTCTTAAATAATAAGTAGACCTAAACTATTTTTCATAATGAATTGAATATATTTGACAATATTTGAATTTTTAGTTAGAATATAAAGACTATCATTATTTTGTATGAATTATTGCACTAAATTATTTCTAAAAATCAAATTTTTCTTTTGAATTAAATGTAATTGAATTTTTATTGTATGTTTGATCATAAGTTAATAATAATGATAGTTTTTTTTTTGTTCTAAAATAGAGTTTCATCAATGTTGAACTAATAAATTAAAACGATTAACAAAACTGATAATTATATGTCGTTCAATCAATATACAAAGTTTTTGTCTTCGAATGTGACATAATCCAATGAGTTCATAAGAAGAATAATGGATTTTTTTTTGTATTTAAGAAATAGAAATTGGATTAGCAAGGAAATGCACTAACAAACGAAACGATTAATCAAATAGAAGGAAATGAGTGCAAACCATCTTTTTCTATTTCTATTATTAAAGAAAAGACTAACGTTTTATGGAATGGTTTTAACAAATTATTATGAGATGCATTATCAACAAAGGAATATTTCATTTTTCTAAAAAATGATACATGGATTAGAAGTGGTTTCCGATAACACTTAAGTAAAAAAAACGCTTTGTTCTTCCGTCTTTCTTTTTTAATAAGTATCTTGCATTCGGTCAACTTTTGTTTCAATACTAAGAAACCCTTATGAAAAAAACAACATCTAAAAATAAACATAATGAATATGCTAGCATCTACAAGAAGTAATTCGGAAGCAAACGCCTACGCTACTTCTACAATCGACACTTCATCATAAATAATAAAAGTAAATTACGACTTATAATTTTTGAAGAGAGGAGGATACATTTTTAGTTGGATCGTACACTATCACCCCCGTGCAATGTCGAGGAATCTAATATAACTCGAAAAATAAATTTTTCTCTTGAGAAAAGATAAGTTACAATATATATTTGCATTTATTACGAAACATCAGACATAGGAACACCGATAACTCAATGATAGATGTTTAAAAATAAGATCCTTTACAATATCATTAATGTTAATTTATGATGTACAAATATTATTTTATGGAAGAAATTAATGAAATTTATTCAAGAATATATTTATTAAATAAATAAGCCATATATATATTGAATTTTTTTACATTTAGACATATATTGACGAACAAAGTTTATCACAGAAAACAAAAGGATACATAAAGCAAATTTACAATAATAAAAAATGTCTTGAAAGATTTTCTCTATGTTTATTAAGAATTAGATTTTTATTATTCATATGTCTTTTTTGTGTTCGTGCTGCTGGTTGTCTACGATCATTGTGACGTCTAAAATAAATATAAAATATAAATATAGTTGAGCAAAAAGAATCTATTTATATACCGAAATAGAGTACTACTCAATGTCAAACATATGATAGGATTTGAACAACTATTTAAATTAAATAAAAGACTAAAAATAGTCATAAGCCAATTCATTGTTTTTTGTGATAAAAATTTTCCATTTAAAGCCATTATTATTGATCCAATATAAAATGGTGTTGAACAAAGTATATAAGCAAGAACAACAATAAATGTTAATTTAATTGTTTTAAGACGTGCACGTGATAAAAATTGACTTGCACCATAACGTTGTTTTATTTGTTGTCCATCTAAACTATTTGAACTTGGATGTTTTGATAATGTTAATGATGGACGTCTTAAGCGAAATATAACTGGATACATAATTGGTGAAGATTTATTCATAAATGTTACTGTTGCTATACTTGAACATTCAATTGATGGATAATGAATCTGTCCATGATTTTTTAGAATAGATTTTGTATTTCGATCTAATGTTGTTGTCGATGCTGATGAATTACTTGAAGCTTTTGTTACAATAATTGATGGTAAATTTGGTGTATTTGTTATTTTTATATTTTGAGATGATTGATACATGGAAAAATTTCGATTTACAATAAAATAAACTGAACCATAGCAATAAATTAATACACATACAGGTAAAAAGAATTGAACAACAATTGTCCATAGAATATAAATTAATTCCCATCTACCATCATGTCCTAAAAATCTGGCCACACATATTTTTATTTCATGAGTTGGATTACGTTCCAAACGAAATATAAATAATTGTGGTGATGCAAGAAGAATACTTAAACACCATACAGCTATCATATGAAAAAGACCTGCACGTGGTGTCCATGTATATGTTGTTAATGGATGAACAATTGCTTGATAACGATCAATTGTCATAACAACAAGACTAAAATAAAACAATAATTCTTTAAATTTTTTTAACAAACGAATTATTTAGTAATTATAACTTGTTATAGATAACTCATTTCACGCATGAAATGTAATTATGAATATTTTTGTTTAAATCTACATTCGAATAGATGACAATAAATCATAATTATTTTAATCTATACTATGAACATATAATTTATCCAATCAATAATGATTTATAATTGTAAGAAATTTATTTAATTCTTAGATTTCATTCATGTTTTTATTCCAATTACATTGAATTCAATTTAATAGAACTATATTGAAATTTGAATTATTTATTCAATTAATATTATTTCTTCTCTTTGAAAAAGCAAGATCTTTGAAGGTGTATTTATAATACATTCAAATAGCATGATCTTTTTATTTTTATTTCTTTTTACTTATGTTAGACTAAACATGATTTAAAATGAATGATAAGTTTCGAACAAGGTTCACTTTGAAGTATATTTAGAGACGCAATACACTTACGTATATACGGAAATATATGTTGATGTTAACATAAGAAAAGCCATTAGTCGACAAACAAAATCTCCACCAAAAAATGTCGATGTTGATTTCCATATAAACATTGGTAAAACACTAAAAAATGCAACTAATAAATCAGCTATTGTAAGATGAAGTATAAAGAAAGCCATTCGTGTTGTTCGTTTATGTCTTGTTGTTAACATAACAATTAATACCAAAATATTACCAATTAATGCTAAGATAAATATAGTTGCTAAAACAATTTGTTCAACTAATCTTAATTGATGATCAAAACGTGCCAATATAAGAGAACTATTGCTTGTTGTTGTTATATTCATCATAATGAAATAGAAATAGTCGTTGAGAGAACTAAACAATATATCTAAATAGATAGATAGCAGCCAATAGCGAATCTAGAAGAAAAAAGAAAATCCTTTTTTTTTTCTTTCAACAAAGAAAAAGGAAAAAAGAAATAGAGTAATATACAGTTAAATAGATGATCACACATCAATGAATAAAAGATAGTAATTTTATGGTTTAGAAAAACAGAGAAAAATATTTCTTTTTTGTGGTTCTCTTATGAGGTTAAAATCTTGTCTTTATCTAGAAAAATAAATAATTCAAAGACATTTGTCAATTATAAAGGATTTTTATCAAATATATTCATGCATCATGCTTGATTCTTATCGTTCACGTTTTGAATAATTCCTTTAATTACTTTCTTCTGTATCATCGTTCATTATCCTTTCAAGTCTTGTCACGACCAATATTTAATGATACTCATTAAATTTTTTAATGTTAGATTTAACGGAAATATTTCATTATTCATTAAATTTATATGAAAGGATTAATCTATATAAATATATATGAAGACATTTCTACGTTTATTTATCATGTAATTATAGCGTTAATCTTCTATTAAAATTTAAATTTTTATTATCGTTAAGGTCTAAATATGTATCATTAGTTGCACTTAAGAAATATGAAAAATTTTGAAGAGTACCTAATATTAAATTGGAAATATATTTAGATCAATAGATTAACACTACAACTAATCACCAGATTATTATTTTATTGGCTAAAAATATAAAATTGAAAACTAGGCAAATTTATTAAGCTTTTGCGATTTGAAATATCTTTCCATTATCAAATCTTAATGGTAAATGAATAAAAATAAACATGAACATAATAATATTTCTGGTTTCATTCATGTTTTTTGATATATAATCTAATAACATGAATCTATATCAAGAAAAGCTAATAGAATAATAATGGATAATTCTATAATAATATGGTACTACTACTATAGAAAGCAAATCTTATTGTCATTTGCTTTATCCTTTCCTATATCATATGACCAGATTTTGTCTAAAATGGAATATTAATATCTTAAATAAAAATTTTTTTTTTCAGAAAGAAGAAATAACTGATAGCATGTCAAAGAGTGGTATATTTTTTGAATATATGTTATGATACTGAAATATGTAATTAGAAACTAATATCTTTCTACTCTAATCTGCTAGAGGGTAAAAAGCCGTTTACATACGCAACTAGCACTTAGAATAGAAGACTCTTTCATTTTGGATGAATAATACGCCGAACATAATAGAAAACCGTCATCAATTATTTATTTTCTTGCAAAATTGATACTTTACCATTTGATCACGAAACCCGTAAAATAGATCTCTTCAATATATGTTGTGTACTGACATAGATGTCTCTGATAAGGGCATTCTATCTTTAGATCAAGTTTGGGTGCAAAAATTATGGCCGCAAATAATTTTCAAAGTAGACCATATGAACCATAAATTTTTACTTTATTCATCATAAAAACAAACCAACCGTGAAAAGATTAATTAGTAGATTGACATCAACAGATTTCTAGGGTTTCAAGCTAAAAAATATCTTAAAAGACAAAAGTCAACATTATTTCTAAATGTTTAAAGTTCTAAAAAAATTCTTTTTCCGAATCCTCAAATTTTTTTTTTGATTTTTTGGAAAACTATTGAAATTAAAACTTATGAATATAAATGAGACACAATAGAAGTATTTTTTCTGAAAAACTTTCTTCATTACGACATAATAGAAGATTACATGTATTTTAATGCAGTGAGGGTTTTTCTTATTTTCAAAAGTATTAGATCTAATGTGTTCATGATTTTTTAATGGAACAATATCTAAATATAGAACCAGTGAATAAATAAATTGATTCTTATCTATCATCAAAAAAGTACATAAAAACATACTGGTAAAAGTTCAACTAACCGAGTGCTTTCTTAAGATAAATTGATTTCTAGTAATTGACATTAAAAAAATGCACAAAAGATTCACTATGTTTATCAGAAGTGCGAACCATGGCACTGATTAATTTTGACTAATGAATTCCATCTCAAGAAACACAGTAAAATCTTACTTGAATCATGCAAGTCACATTGACAGTGAAAACAGGAAACATCAACATTCTATTCAATAAATATGGGTCGAAAGAATCCTGTCGAATAAGATTGCAAATCCGCTACCGCGTTAATCTCACTTTCAGTAGAATAGAAAGATAGAGCTTAACATTCTACACATTTCTGTCTGTTTATTCTGTTTTTTGCTGAATGCCAAAAAAATTTCATGGATTACATAGTTTCAAGGGGCCTATTATTTCTGAACGGTTCAAATAATAATTATGATATCCGTAATCTTTCTCTCGTAAACCTAATATGAAAATTAATAGCGTACACGATGCAGTTTTATGTGCTCTACAAATTGACATATCGATCATGTTCATCTATTAGTTACTGTAGAGTCAGGCAGGTATGATATTATACATGTCTAGCTCTAGATAAACTAATTGATGAACATAATCGATGTGTCTATTTGTAGCATATAAAAAACCTCTATTGATATATGCTATTAGTTTTTATATGGGATTTATAATAGAAAAATTACGGATACCACAGTTATCATTCGAAACATTCGAAACTGATAGACCCTCCTAAGACTATTTAATCCATGAAAATTCTTTTTTTTTTACATTCATTAGACAAAAAACAAACTAAATAGACAGAAGTGTGTAGGATTTTCATGCTCTATCTTTATATTCTATTGAAAGTAAAACCTAAGGGGTAACAGATTTCCGCTCTTATCAAAAAATATTCTATGCTGTGTAGTTTTGCTTTTTTTTCTTTATTTGCAATGGAATATGTCTGGCACATGTATGTCAAAGAAAAGCTGAGATTTGACAACAATGTCACATTATTGGATACACAAATTCATACAAAATTATTCAGGGTTATATTCCTATTTGCCATTCATTGGATATCTGTTTTTTGTTGCTATATACTGTATATAACAAGCATCGAAGAAAAACAAAATAATATTTTTATCCTTATTTCTATGAAATTTATAATCAATGATTACGATAAAAATTTCGAAAGCGGTTTCTTTTATGTAGGATTATTTATTTATTTTTAAATAAGTATAAATATAATCTAAGAATTTTATCAAAATAAGAAATCTTAATTATCATTTATATTTTAAAGCGTTTTTGAAGACAAAAAATGTCAGAATGTCTCGGAGTAGAATTTGAGCGTGTTATTCCTTATGGTCAAAAGAATAAAGATGTCAATAAACTTTTAAGTAGGACGATAAGATTAGAAGAATATAATTGCGAGTATTTATATCATTTTGAGTGCTACGTGTTAAGTAGAAATGATAATTGATTTCAGATTCATGATTAAAAATTATTGCGATTATTCTTTTTTTTTTTATACTGATAGGGTCAGTTCACCTTTATATTAGCGACTGCGACTGTAAAAATATAACTAACCAAACCAAAAAAGAAATATATTGTTGCCTAAAACAATGCATAGAAATATTTTTAGATTCTTTTTACGTAGAAGTGCATTTTGCCTGATATCCAGGGTATATAATTATCCTTATTCTCCAGTGAACCAAAACACTCTATCTGTTAACTTACATGATGTATTTTAATCTGCAAATTCCACAAAAATATTTCCTTGTAAAGAAAACATTGTTATTTCTCTGATTTATAGAATTCGTATTGGAATTTCTTGTAGTGATAAGCATAAACTAACGATGAGTTCTATAACTTAGCTTATTTTAGCTTTCTATTAAATACAGATAAGCAGATGCTAATTCATTCATAAGAATTAGTAATTTGATTGCATCAGAGAAAATTCTATATTGAAGAGGAAATCAATAAATTTATGTTAAGAGTGGACGTGTCAAAAATTACTGTATTTTTTTCAGAAAATAAAAGCTGAATACAAAAGTTTTCGTTCCTAGGAAAATGCAGTGTTTCCGGACAAAATCTCACTTAGAAGAAGAATACACTGCCCTTCGATCACCGTGCAACATAGCGTATTATCTAAGAATAATATCGTTGATTTGATATTTTCCGTATAATTAGTACTAACTGTAGCCCTAGGCATACAACCAACCAAAGTCAGAGTTCTTCTATTCAATTATTTGAAATCCTCGTACATACTAGGGAAAAGAACAGGATTATGTCATAATGTAGGCAATGTGCTGTCGTACGGGTAATCCGAGACAAGTAATTGTTAATGACTTGATCAAAGTCATGACATGGCTGAGGATGTCTAGGCTTGAGCATTGTATTTCCTAGCACGTACTGAACAATTTAATCACTAAGTCATAGCGCCTAGATTTAGTTTAAATACAATACATTCATTGATTCAAGCGTCAAAAAATAAAATTATGCAAATGTTAAGAAATGTCTTATGTTCATGAAATTTTCGAAATGTTAGAATTGTACGTTCTAAACTTAATTTATAGTCTTTTAGTCTCAAATTCTAATTGAAATCTTGATTCTTTCGAATGTTACATAATAATCGATTGAAGATTATTCCTCAATTGTATACAGACATCACTATTTGACGTCGTCGTTTTTTCTTCATTTTCTCTTTTCTGTTAATTTAAGGATATTTTTCCTATGTTCGCCGTCTAAGAAAGGAGAAGAACATGATTGTTTTTCCTTTATCTTGGTATAAATTCTTTTTTTCTAAATAAACTATTCGTTTATTTTCGTTTTATTTGTTCCCAAAAACAAGTCCTTATCTGACTTCCAATTTTGATGTTTTTTTCTAATTTCTTTTAGCTATTAACAAATAGAAACGATGGACTCATTTGAGGCATTTGTGATGCATGCTTTATCTTGAGTGATATTTTTCTTATTTAAACTTTAACCTATATATATAGTAACTATTGTTTATTGTTAGTTATTTAATCAATTATTCTTATTTGCATTGAGTTTGATTTACAAACTGAACGCTCACTAGTAATTATGTTAAGCAAAGACACCTATCAAATGAAATATCTACAGTAAAGAATTAGACTTACTCTTATTAAAACTCTTCAGAAAATTAACTACTATCAAATGATTTGTAAGTGATAGTTCGGATGACGATCGCTGTGTCGTTTTGATAGAAATGTTTGGAGATAAAAACAGGAAGTAGAACAATTGTTGACGCTTATTTCCATGCAATGGAGCGTGTTCGAATAAAAAAAACAATTTTCTGTGTTCGTCCCACAACATTTTTATTAGAAGGACAAAGAGAACAATATTTATTCGATTATTGTTGAATTCTATGGTATTGTTAAACATGGATGAACACTCTAATGAGAAAAAAAGGACAATGATGTCGCAATTTTTTAGTATTATTTGTGGCAGTATCATATAAAATTCTATGTTTCATTTGAGATATTCAAGTATAATACTTTGTCTGTACTCTAACGGGTACGTCTGTATTTTGTAGAAGAATAATCAGTTATGCAATTATTTCAGAATAGCTTCCACCATCCCTTGGGTATTTATGGATGATATGAAACAATAATTTCATAATAAATTGATTTTAAATAAGTCGCAAAAAAAATATATTGAAATGGTAGATTGTGCTAGAAAAAAATGAATCCGACACTCTTTAAAATTAAACCTGCACTCGTTCATTGGTGGAATCGGATTGCAGAATTCTATAGAGTGCTTGATGTACATTAAAGATATTACTTTTCTTTATAAATCCTTTGTCATACTAATTGTGGACAAAAATTTTCGCTGTAGAACATCTGAGCCTTTATAAATGTGGAATGTCTGAAAATATATGTGTATGTGCTTCGTTAAGAGTGCAGATCAGAGACGCAATTCTGCTTCGATTGTCTAATTACCAAAATAATTATGATAGATGACACTTATCTTTGCAATAAGCTTGTCAACATGAAAGAGATTGCCTACGCGATTAAGAAATAATTTCTTATCAAAATACATTATTAGTTCTTGATATTTTTGAGTAAAAGTGAAGTTCAGTCTATGGTCGTTCTGTAATTAAAAATGAATTCACTACATCGGATTTTGGTGCCTTTGGATATTTAGGGATCTTTTGTCTTATCAAAGCAATACCCATATCCATGCCATGTCTCATCAATACACATTTTGTTTATAAAAATTTTACACACTCATTTTCAATTGTAGTGGCAGCTTTTTTTAAAATTAAACTTCATTCATTGAATTATTTCTGAGTTCTCGTCTCAAAAGAAAAACAGATAATTCTTTTTCATCTCAAAAATCATAGCAAAATGGTTAGAGTATCAGACAGAGTGAGATACGACGCTATATACAATTAATAAAAAAATTTCTTGTTTCGATATTTAGAGTACAACATATTGTTGTGAGGATACTATTCAACAAATATGTGTATGTTTTCATAAAAATCGTTGTTCAACATTGAAATGTTCAAATTCATTATTAACTCGTGTTGTTTATGATCTTATACTGACTCTTACTGTGATTGCTGCTTGTTCATGTTTAAGAGGGCATACTGAAAATATTTTAATAAGAGTTCTCCATTTATGTAAGAATAATTACATATTTGATTTATTTAGGTTTTAATATAGATCAAACTGGTACAACAAATACATATGAATCATTTGCTGGATATGCAGATGTATATAGAATTTTTTAAAATTATATTTCATTTATTTATGACACTTGTATTATATCAAGTACAAAAAATAAATGTTTATAATTAGTATTATTATAACAATTTTTTTATCAACTATAACAAAACTTAATCGGGATTTGAAAGAAGGAAAATAATGCAAACAAAATTCTTTAAATAGAAAATTTTATTTAGTATTATTATTTATTGGTTTCATAGGTGTATCTTTATTTATTCTTGAACAAATGAATTTTTTAATTTTTTGGTTTTATATCATAACTTAACATGAGTTAGAAAAAGTTTTATTTTAAAGACAAATAAGAATTCTATTTTAGTGTTAATTTTATCTTTTATACTCTTGTATAGTATGGTTATAGATATCACTGTTATATTATTTCTCGTTTATTCTCATCTAATGTATTATTGATGTCAATAATTTGGTTTTCTTTGAACAAAATCATTTTCATTTTCTGTGTGTAGTCAAAGAAATGTATGTCTGATCCAGTACGTATTTTACTTAACATTCTCGGTTGTCTTACAACTATCATATGACCAACACAACAGTATGAATTCATTAAGCTCTAAATTTTGAGAGTAATCAATATCAATGTTTCTGACTTCATCGATATACATTACAGATCGTTAAGATATACTATAGATATAACGAATATATGCAACAGACTTACTTGTTCATTGAATCAATGCTTAGACTAATAATAATAAATTAAGAAAATGAAATAAAAAAAAAGAAAACGGAATTTCTATTCGAAAGACAAAAGTAAAAAAGTAATGATATTTTGCTGATATTACACTTGGTATATTTTATATTAATATAATGAAGCTAAAGAAAACATGTGAATTCTACCTTTAAGCTCCAATAGAGCTATACTAACAAGCTTGTTCTGAAATTTCCAAAACACGATTAAAACCATCCGGAGTATTGATCAAGAATATTTCGGAATGTAAATGTCATTGGATCATTAGCAACTAAATATATTCCCAATTTATCAAGCGAAATGACTTCTGCTAACAGCTGCGCCATAAATAATCGTATCATCTATATTTTCTGTTTATTTTGGTCATAGTGTCAAGAGATTCGCTGATGGATTCTCTACAAAATCGCATGGAAGCATATTAGATCTAACTATAAAAATGATCGCAAGGATTGGATAGTAGTCAGCTTCTTCAATATCCACTGATTTCTAGCATACAACAGTTCGTAGTCTGGTTTTCGATCCCTACAACTTATCTCTCTGTTGTTTGACTATTGATTGATGGCTGTACCTAGAATTCTTCAAGCACTAATTATTCCATCATATACCGATATTTAGAAGGACTATATTCATCACATTAAATCAAAACTATTAAAGGATGAAGAAATTTGGTGAAAGAAAACCACAATGAAATATTCCAACGTGAAGGTTTGCACGGTTTGCAAGAGATAAAATGAGTCATACACTTTTTAGTTTCTCAATACAATCCATCAATTTTTACTATTGTATAATTATCAATAGGTTTTATTGATCAAGAATCTATGTTCTTAATCTTATTTCGACAATATCACTTGTTTAAAATAGATTTAGTTATATATTTTTTATTATACTCATTTATTCTACGTAAGTAAAGTTAATTAACAAAACATTTCATACAAGTTATTTGATTTCAATAATGATAAATTTGGTTCTTCAACAAAAAGCTTTAATAGGCAACAAAATACATCTGAACATAATCCTAATAATAGTAATTGTAATTCTAATGCAATAACATGAAAACTTAACAATAAATATCAACATTTATCGAAATTCCAACTATTGAAAATACAGATGCGAAACAAAATCTTCTTATTTCATCATCAATAACAATTAAAAATGATATAAAATAAATAATTAAATGAATAAATAAAATTTTTGTTAATCCCTCAGATTCATCTCCAATAGCTCATGATGGTGATAATAGTAATAGACAAGAAAATAATTAAATTCTAGCATCTACTAATCTTTGAATAACAACTGAACAAAATATTGTAATCTCTAATGATATTATGCATAATGATGAAACATTAATAGTGGATGATTATTATTCATTACTTTATTTTGTTAATGCACTTACATCACTTTAGGCCATGATGACCTTAACAAACGGTTATTAACCATCAGAAACATTGATGTTTTTTTTCTTTTCTCATGGACTGTAATTGCACCGTTTTTATTATAAAATCAGGATTTTAATTGGATTTTCTTTCGTACTTATAAAAAAAAGGTAATTTTTTTGTCAAAGAAATTTAATTGTTTCTTAATAAGAAAGATCATGCATGTTTTTATAGGATGAATGATGTGAATAGAAATAATTTCAATATTGTTGGATTCATTATAGAGAAAGGATGATTCGATAATGTTTAAAAACATCGCTATATCAAATGAACTTTACTGGTTTTTATTATTCATTTCTTCAAATAATATCTAGATTTATAAATCAGCAAAATTCAAAGTATTCAGAAAAAAACAACCAACTTTTAATTTTATGTAATTTGACCTTATTGGAACTGTTTGCCAATGATCTAAGAATCGAGATTATAATTTATCTACTTGTAAATATGATTTTTCAAAATGATAATTTTGCTGTAAATGTCGTTATATACACTAAGAGAGTTCTTTTAATTTTGACGTAGGATTCAATAAGACTCGAAAAAAATCTAGATATTACAGTTAAAACTACTGATTCCATCTCTCAAAAGATCATGTTTTTCACGATACTCGATTTTCGACATGTGAGATAGCATGAAGAAAATTTCGAAGAAACTTAGTATTTTGACGAAGACGTATTCCTTTTTTTGTGTGATATCAAAATTTCTAATAGAGTCACAAGACTTGCACAAGGGCTAAATATCAGATCAAAAATCTTTAAATTTAATTTTAGGGTAAACCTCAGAATATAGATACTAACAGGATGAGTCTACCAACTGATTAATGTGTTTTTTTTTTCAATCGGGACTATGTATATCATGTAGACCTTGATGAGCCATGAATAACTTTTAAAAAAAGAGTTCGACCTTCGATTTGTAATTTTGCACAGAGGCAGACGCTAACAAGAATAGTTTGTTGCTAAGGCTTCATATCTTGTCGTCCTTTCTATCTTAAGATACGGCTATGGCAAAAGCATTTCTCTTTCACACTGTTTATATGCCCTGTTAGAGTCGATGTTATTATTTCAAGATAGAAGTAAATCAAAAGACATAAAATTTTTACAAACAAAATTTTCTCTTTAAGACTTGTCTCTGTACTAAAATTCAAATCAAAATTCGAAAATTCGTTTTTCCTGTGTTCCTGAGGTTAACCACAGCGTTATGCGAAAATATGTTCTCAAAATGCAATATCTCGGCAGCAGTAAGTTAAGATTATCAAGTCTATTTCAGTGTATTTGTAATTCATTAAAATCTGCACAATGTGCACTATTCCGACTAAAAAACAATTGATCAATTGGATGACTATCCTATCCAAATACATAAAAACAAGAAAAAATGGGTGAGAACGCTTTAGAAAGTTTGAGCGTTGTCGAATGTGAAACGAGATTTTCGATTGTCATTAAAAAACATTCACAAGTATGTAGCATGAAAAAAATCGTTTTCTATACAAGGTAACGTTTTCGACAGTTTATGTGTTATAAATTCTTAATCATTTTAAAATCTATTACTGTAAACGTTTCTGACTGTCAATTGAAAGCCGCGATGAGCACTCTAATACATTCAGATTTTTCATATGTTAACACGTCTACTTTATTTTTTTCTCTCCTTGCATTTCTTTCCTATAAATTTTTTGTCCGTGCATGCAATTCATATAATATTAATAATTTTTATGCAGATAAATAAATGTGTCTCTTTATTTGTTAATTTACCTACAAACCTCTTTAACAATCAGGTGATCTAACCAATTACTTATCTACTTTCGTGACTGACTACACACCTAACTACCTATGAATCTGACTGCTAATCTATCGATCTAACGACCTACTTAGATCTCTAGAGAAAACTCTTTTCTCTTCTCTTTTTTTAGTTTATATCGCATCTCTTTGTTTTCTATTGAATGTTCATTATAGAATGTCTTAAGTACTTGATTTCAGTGCAGTTAAGAATGATTAGAATTCACTTCAATGGAAAATTGACGTCTTTCAACACTAAGCGAATCCCATAGCAGGTTTCTTAATCATTTGACAATATCTATTTTGAACTTACTAATCTTGTAACTATTTTATGCTTAGTTAGATCTCTGTCGTCGATTGTACTTTGCCGATTGGATGTTGATTCGGTCGCAAAGAGGTTTTAGTCGGTGAAAAAAATAGTAAAATAATTAGCAGATCAAAAACAGAAATAATAAAGCTAAGGAGAAAACTTCAAAGACATTCGATTGCGAGAATGATTAATGATATTGAAAGACATACATTCTTCATTGAAGCAAATTGTGATGAGTCGTATGCTATACTAAAATAAAGTGCTCACACCGTTCTAGTAATGAATATTCACTTGATACAAAATGGGTACAATACAGAAAAAAAAGCTGTAATTGTAATCTATTGTGGGAGTAATTTGTAAAACGCCGTATAGACACCTGTGTTTTTGAATAGAAAAGTGCTCTCATAAAATAACTTTTATTAGTTTTATGTCTCTATGATGTGAATCATGTCGTGCAAGTATTGTATTATTGGTCTTTGAAGAAAACAGATTTATAGAATGAACTTAATCAAATACAATATATGTATTATTTTTAGTCGACTTAAATTTCTTAGCTATATCTAAAACAGTATATGTGCAGTGACAATTTCTGCTTCTATACTTCAACACTAGTTTTAGATCGTGTTTTTTAAAAGAAAGGAAGTGAAAAGACATTTGATCAGAGGTTAGACCAAATACCCATCTATGTCACTACCTACCTGCTAACCTTATCACAGTTAGAAAACGATGAAATGAAAAAAGATTTCTTATTTCGTTCTGGATATAAATATTTGACTTTGTCAAAAATGAGTGCCGCACTTGCACCGCTGCTCTCTAACATTCTTTTTATCTTTACCTCTGTTCTTTATTGTCACGAACATTAATAAAAGAGGAAATATAGTCAAATGCGAAGCTAGTTCTGTGTATGAGAAAAACTGCCAGATGTATGGTAATAGAGAAGAAAAATAATATGGAGACGAATAAAATATAGAAAATGTAAACAGAAAGTTAGCAAACATAAGATGACAGTAGAAAACTATACAAATCATTGTTGACTATAATCAATAGCTTTAGTATATGCAATTTTACCTCACAATTTTCATTACTTACATAAATCTACGATATTTAAAAAAGACTACGAGACAAAAAGAAATAATAGTTTGCTTCTTTTTCATATCATTTTTTCTAACAAGAATACGAAAATAGAGAACTGCCACCGTAAATAATTTCTATGCAGAAAGCAGAGAATTGCTCATTTTTGTTTTTTTTTCAAAAGAAATTAAGCTTCTCAAGATCAAGTAATTGAATTACATAGTTCTGTTGAAATAATTTTTTTTTGTGTCGAAATAAGGGCACAATAATTTTATCATTATTTTGCAATACAAAATTAGTTATAAACTTTGAGATATCGAATTCAAAGGAATAACTAATTGATATATATTGAACAAAATAAACTTGAGTTTTCAATTTGAAGCAAAGCTTTAATTCTCTTATATCATCATAGTTGAGCCTCTTCAAGATGCGCATTGATTCAATGCTTCATTCCTGTTTAAAATAAAACAAATAATGTTTTAAAATAACATACTTCTCAATATAGAATCGATCGATTGTCTATTATGAACTTCAATTTTCTTATTTCAAGCTTATGCATATTTGTTAACTGAAGTCACAATTTAAGTATTAGCTATTTTAAATATTTGGTTGTTCTTTCGATATCGACAGTTTTCTAGTTTTGATTACATGTCATAGACATATTTATGTTATTATCAAAATCTGAATGAAAAAAAGCAAATACTGGGATGTAAATTGATTAGCATAGACCTGCTAGGATAAATCGAATACACTTATTATTAATAATACCAAGGATTTCATCCGTGCATACAATGGCAAGCAGCTAAGCGATACATCAGTGTGTAAATTATCCTGTTCGAATTTGGAATCTATCAGTGATTAGTAAATTTTTTCCCGCACTTGAACGCAATAAAGATATCATTTCAAATATGAAAACACTTACCTATAAATCAGGGTCAATTGAAAACTGTCTAAAAACACGAATTTTTAAGAGTTAAAAATTAGTTTTCTTAGTATACTCATCAGAGATGGGCAAGTTGGAGGTTCTTCAATCACAAGCCAACTCAGGTCAGACGTCTTCAAGTCAAATCAAGTCATAATTCATTCAAAAACACTTCATGTCGAGTCAAGTTAGTCTTGACTTGACTTGCCCATCTCTGACATTCATTATTATTTTTTTTCTAACCCTTCACACACTTAAAATATCAAACACAATAAGTATGAAGAGTTTAACTTCGGAATATACTTATATACATATATATCTGTTTGATCATTTTAACACTTAAAATGTTTAATAAAATATGAATTAAAAGTTTTGTTTCTAAATACTCGGATGATTATCTGATTTTGACTATTGAAAGGCTCAAAAATTGAATATGAATAGTGACAAAAAAATATTTGTATGGAAAAACGATCAAAACATTTATTTTTCAGGTGATCACACGGCTATCAATTATCAATCCAATTCTGACAGTAAAAATGCTGTCATAAAAGTGTCAAATTTAAGGTTTTGTGTGATTGGCACGCTTATGAGGAAGAATGAGTGTTAACACGCTCATAAAACTGATTATTTGAGCACTGACACAGCTGCATATACTTGATAAAGTAGCCTCGTACGTGTGTACGCTTAAAACTTGAATTTCCTGTTGTATACATAGCCAATATTTTAGTCTGACTATAGTTTTTGTCCGTACTTAAAAGAATCTTCTTGACCCCTATAAAAAGCCTTATATCTTTCACTAGCTGCTACATTCCGTAGTGTTGAGCAATATGCATTATTATCAAGATACATTGCTCAGCAGAACGACATAATGTGTGTGTGGATGTGAGTCGAAAAGAGACTCACTCCCATACCCTTTTCTTAAGCGATATTTCTTGTGATGAAAACTGCATGAAGGTAAAAAGGAATGAAAATGATGAAATAATTAGCCGAGAAGAAAAAAAATCTGTTCTTAGTTAATTCGATTTAGTTCAATAGAATATTAACGTATATGTGTGTTTTTGTTTAACTGTATTTGTAAAAAATATGTAATTTTTATTATGTTTTGCATTTGTTGTAATGTTTGTATCACCGAAGATATTAGAGTTCAAGAAGGTTTAGAATATCGCTAGATCATCACTCCAAAATTTAACTTTCGTTTCTTGGGAAAACATGAAATTTTTCGGAGTTCTAATTTCATCCATAACATTTGTGCCTCGTTGTTTTGATTCAGAAAAAATAAATAAACTGTCGCAATAAATTAAGAATCTGAAATGATTTATGTTGTAGAAAAATTAATGCAATCAACATAAACACAGAATATGTAACTATTTTATCACAATGACAAACAGTCATGTGATAACCGTAAGTCATGGCGATCAAGTTGGCCACTAGTCCCAATACTAAAGTAAACAAATGTACTTTACCTATAGAAGAATAACAATCTATAAATCACACGAAAGGTAACAGATGTCAATACTACCTAATGATTATGGTCATGCAAAAAGTTTTCCGAGTTTTATTTCTATTTCATTGAAGAATGTATATAGCAATGCGAGAGTTAATGCTCTATTCAATCTTGTCTTGCATTCAGCATTGAGCTCAGTGAGATTCATGGAGCCGACAGGTAACTTGTGGACAAAATATCAGTCCAACAGTTCGAATCTCTTGAGATGGTTCTTGTGTGAGTTACAGTGTATAATATAACTGATCGATGGGTGATAGATTCCATATTTTCAAATATAAACAAATTATTAATATAATTATTAGAAAGATAAAGTCGTATACTGAAATAAAGATTCATATTTTTCTAAAAAATGCCATGCGTAGGAAAAAAGATCGTTGTCATTGTGAAAGAAATATTTCCTCACAAAACCTAATAACAATCGCCTTGCAAAGTTTTTAAAAACTTTTACTAAAATGACATATGTTATTATAAAATAAACGAATATATTTATTTAACATTTGTGTTAAAATAGAGCGAGAGAGAGAGAAAATACATATGAAAAAATATAATGAGATTATAAATTGTCCCATCCACCTGGATGTTGCATATTGACTTGTCGTCGTTTGAATTCATTTTTAAAATCATTCCCAAGATGATCAAGGTCTTTTTCATCTCGAATAACACCCTGAAATAATAAAAAACAAAAAACTGTATATCTTTCGTTCGTTTTATTTTTTTGTATACCTTTGGTAAATATCCCAATAAACGATGTGCATGTTCACGAAGTAATTTAATACGCTCTTCTTCAATAATTTGTTTTCGTATTTGTTCAATACGTTCAGCTTCAACACGTTCATTAATATCACGTTGCTAGAATAAATATTTAAATAATAATAGTACTAATAATAATTCTGTTAATACAAACTTTATCCATTGTCATTTGACGTCGACGCTCTTCAAGTAAAGCATCAACAGCTCTTTTATGTTCGATTTGTTTCATACGACGCTTTTGAGCATTCATTTGTTCAATACGATCATCTTCAGCAAACTTTGCCATTAACTATAAAAAAAACAGATTGTTATTGTAAATAATTCTATCGTTTGTTTTTCTTTTTATTAACTTGTTGTCGAAATTTTTCTTCTTCTTGTTTAATTTCTACATCACGTAAACGTTTAAATTGTATTTGTTCATCACGTTCACGTTGTAATTCAAGACGTTGTCTTATACGTGCTTCTATTTCATCACGTTCACGCCTTCGTATAGCTTGTTCTTGTTCTTCCAAATATAATTCTTGTCGTACTAATTCTTGCTCTTCACGTTCTTCACGATCACGTTTTATTTGTTCAGCTAATGCATGTTGAACTCTATCGAAAGCTTGTTCTCGAGCGCGTTTCTCAGCTTTTGCTATTTCTTCTCGTTGTTCTTGAGCTTTAGCATATTCTTTTATACGACGATTTTCTTCTTCCATACGTTGACGTTCCATAGTTTTCCATTCTTCACGTTTACGCTTAAACTCAACAATAAATTCACGGGTAGCACGTTGACGTTCTAATTTACGTTCCATTTCCCTATAGAAATTATGCAGTGTTAGAACTTGCGGGAGAAATACCTCAACTGGCACCTGCTATTTCAGCTCATATTGAGCCTAGGAGAGACCTTGGTGAAGCGAGCAAAAGATTAGAAGGTTTTGTGTTCATACGACTTTAGCAACAAGTTATGATCGGTTTATTGGATGTTCGATCCATTCGTGAGCACTTTCTGAATACCCGAATAACTGAATTTCGATCCCAAATTTTATCCATAGATAGATCTTATAATTTTTAGAATATTCTGAGTGTTTCAACTGAACAGAATGTGACAAAGGATCATTCTTTTCGGCTGAAAATTTCAGATGAAAACTACATAATTTCATGTTTTGACAGTGCCTAAAAATGGGTCGGAAGTCCAGTAAAACGGTCATCAGTCAGCTCCAAAAGCCCATAGAAATAAATCCTTTTACGCTTTTGATAGTCTCACTCAGACCTTCTTCTTAGCCCAGTATGATCTGAAATAGCCGGTATCAGTTGGAATAGTTCTCTCGTTAGCCTAGGAACTGTATTGTTTATATTTTAAGATTAATATCTGAGCATTAAACAAAATAATATTCAACAATTACATTTATTCATGAAACAGATTTAAGAACCCTCCGTCATAGATGTAAATAAACTATTCGAATGCTTCAAGAAAACAATAACAATTTGGTGTTCCTTATCATAAAAAAAGAAAATTACTCGACGGTTTTCATAGTAAATCGAATTGTGTTCTTTATTTTTTCTATGTCGACAAACGAAATCCTCAGTTATAGACAGAAAAGACCAAGATTATAATTTGTGAAACAAAAACTGCATCATTCTAGTATCTATGAACTCTTACAATATATTAAAACAATATGTTAACACAGCTTTTTGTATCTCTGATTTGTTTTACTTGAGAATATAAGCATTAGCTTATCCATATTCTTGTTTCTTTGTTATCCTTAATAAAACGAACTAAACTATCTAGTCATTTCATAAGTGATGTTGTTTCAATTTCTCTCAAAAATCGCTCAAATATAAATATGTACTAAATATGTATATTTTATTTGATGCTAATACAATTTTGAAAAGAAATATAAAAATTCTAAAAAAATACATACCTTTGATCTTCTTCATAAATCTTTCTAACAATTTCATCAATAACTAATTTTTCTCGTAGAAATTCTTCATAAGCTTTTTGTTTATGTAATTCTTGTTCTTCAAGTTGTCGTTCAAGTTCTTGTTTATAACGTATCATCTCTTGTTGTCGAATAATTTCACGTTGACGACGATCTTGTTCAGCTTTATCAGTTTCACTACGCATACGTCGTGCGATTTCAGCATCTTCTAAATATGAATCAAATTTTAAAGCTTCTTTTTCAGCCATTTGTGCCGTGCGTTCTTTTTGAACATAAGCAGCGCGTAATTTTGATTCTAATTCACGTAATTCATAACTTGTTTCACTGGAAAAAATAGATTATACGTTACGGTTTTGTGTTTATTACTTTTTAAATACCGAATTTGTTGTCTCATTTTTTCATCACGTATTTTTTCAAGTTTGATTCTTTCAAGTTCTGTAGCTAAACGTTCTTCTTGACTACGTGCTTCAGCTGCTAATTGTTTTTCAGATTGTGCTTGAATAATAGCTTCTTCCATTGCTCGATCACGTTCAACACGTGCATATTCACGTATATTTCGTTTATTTTCTGCTTTTATTGAAAATTCTTGCATTTCTGTTTCAATACGACCTTGTGCTAGTTGTCGTTCACGAAAAATTCGATCAGCTTCTTGTTCGCGTCGAGCATTTTGATTAGCAATCCAATTACTAGTACCAGTATTACTACCGCCTTGATGTTTATACAATTGACGAGTTAATGCCTATCAGAAAAAGATGTTTATATATATTTTTTCTCCAGCATACTTACCATATTTATGAAAAATCTTTAAAATATTTAGAATAATTGAAAAACAAACTGTTTCATTTTCACATTCGTTGTCTCATTATATGTTTAGCTAGACACAATCGAATAACTTTTTCTCTCCATTTTTTATAGGAACTCTATAGCATTCACCTCTGAATTCAATATTTATATTTCAATGAAACATTTTTTATTATAACACAACTTTGTAAAAAAAATTAAAGCACACATAATATTGATTTTTATGTTTTATACTTTATTCAAAAATTTAACAATAGATGTCGATAGCTATATAGAGTAAAGTTTTTCTATGATCAAAATCCAACGGAGTTATGAACTTGCATACAAAACTTCACAAATTTCCATGTGAAAGCTTATCAACCAAATTCGGCAGGAAATCGATGGAATTCGGATACAGTATTCTGCTATTATTGATTGTTTCTGCATGGCATTTAAACTTTCTCTTGTCACTCGTTGTTTTCTTCTTTCTTATGACATAACAATGTCATCTGTAATTAATTTATCGCTTTCTTTTTCTTTCCTTCTGTTGAGATTATTGTTTCCTAATCTTGTTATTTTATGCTGTCTCTCTTTCCTCTCTTTCTCTCTAGCTTCATATATATGATCAATGAGTATTTTAGAATAAAATAATCATTAAATGATTAAACTAAAATCGTTAGACTTTCATTCAAGACATTAGATCGAACAAAATAAAAAAAGGAATATTGCTCTAATAAATTCTAATTAAACCGCTTGTCGTAATAAAACCTCTTGAAACTTTTATCACGAAAGAACAACTAATATGACTTGGATATGAGTATTACAGAAGAGCAGAAACACATTCACACCTGATGAATACAAGAAATATGAATTTATTAATTTTAATGATGTTCAAATACTTATTCTCAGACCAAGTACCGATAACAGGGTACATAGTAACCATAATCTCAACCGTTGACAAACAACTAATATGATTTCTCGAGAGTATTCTTCATCATGATTAATTGAAGTCTGAAGAAACATTTTTCAAATGCAGATGACATTTCATCAAAATTAATTAAATAGCATTTGTGAAGCTATACTAGAAAAATTGAAATTGTCTGAAAGTAATAGAAGCCTTGAGGCATCTAATACGTCTTTTACATCAATCTCTCAAGAGGAGTCTTCTATACCATGAAGTGGTTTACTAAACGTCAAAATTTAATTATTATTCTAATGATTTTTTTTTCTGTCAAAAGCATTTCTTTTATTTATTCGTTGAAAATAAAAATTGGAAAAAGAAAAACCATATTATGAGTAAATATTATGAGTCCCTATGGCATGTGTATTGATAGTTTTTCTATTGTTAACAATAATTATTTTTTACATTCATCACAATTGTTGGATGTCCCCAATGTTGATAATGGATGTGACATATTTAAACCAAGATCTTGAAGCATAATTGCATATTCAACATTAAATTTTTTACGTTCATGTGTTGTTTTATCTAACATGTTTGGATCATCTGTATGACGTGTTGAAGCAAAATCATTTTGTTCATGTTCACTGGTTGACGTAGGTTTAGAAATAGGTAATTCACGCCAATTTAAGGCACTAAGTACATCATTATATTCAATACAACCATCTTCTTGAGTCATACTAAAATGAAAAATAAAAATATTGAATTATAATTTTAAATTAAATTTACCGATTAATAAGTGTATTTAAAAGATAATCAGGTAATGGAACATGAACAGAACGTATAGCAATACGAACTTCTTCAGCAGGTAATCGACCATTTCGACTAAATGATAATAATAAATGTAGTAAAAAACAAAAAAAGTAACATGTAAGAAAAAATTTTACTTTCGATCTCGTTTGATTAAATTTTCTTTTAATGGTAATAAATGTTCATAATTATGTTTTCTTAAGTGTTCTTGAGCAACGCCAACAATAGAATAAATATCATGTTCTTTAAGACTTTTCTGTGCATAATATCGAGCAAGTGTGATAATTTCATGATCAACCAAAATATGTCCAGCAAGATTTTTCATTAAATAATAAAATGTTTCATAACCAAAATAACCTTTACGATGAGGATCATGTTGTTCAAATTGTGCAACACTATCGGAATTATTTGTTAAAAATTGTCGTAATTTTTCTAAGACTAATCTTTGATTTGAAACAGGAAAAAGATATGATTCTTTTTCCATTAATGTAAAAGCATATTCATCAGCATCATATATATAAAATTCAAAACCGTTGATATTTACGTGACCTCCAACATAAAAATCTATTCCACTAAAATATTCTGATACTTCAAGTGGATATCGTGGTTGATTGGGTTTTTTTATTTTTTGACGTTCAAGAAATTTACCACCATCAATACCTATATTAAAAAAAAAAAGGAAATTCAAAATTTGATTGTTAATATTTATTGTTTCTTACCAGAATTTCTTGTTGGTGGTTCATGAATATTGATAGTATCATCGGCAAGAAAATATGATATAACAAAACGTCGTTCAGCTTGTATTGGATCTTTTGTTATTATTTTAGCCATAAAACGAAGAACGTTACTTTCAAGACCTTGACTGAAAAGAAATAAAGATAAATATTTTTGTTAAATAAATTTTCATGAAAAATTTATAATCAATAATAAAAATGAACGTGGATGAAGAGTTGAATATAAATTTTTAATTATCAAAAGATATGTTCAAGGTTTGAATAAATTTCAAATAAATACGAATCAATATCTCAATTGCTGAAATATGAAAATATCATTGAACTTTTTTTTTATTACAAATGAGAATAGTTTTAGAATTATTTCTTTCAGCTTTCCATTCATACCCAAGAGAAATCGTAAAATCCAGTCTCTATTACTGAGTGATTATATTATGATATACACCTGCTCTTGTAATTAATTAGTGTGTTTTGAGAATTCAAGCAATAAAACACAAGAACTCTGCATCAGGCTGACCTTTTGTTCAAAGCTACATCTAATGTTAGTTGTCCGCCAGATATCAGACTACCGAATCTGATGCTAGGCAGTATTCTATATTGCAAGGTAGCTGAAAGGCAGAGTTATTCTTCTTCTATAGAATTTCTCATGATCTTTCGAAATATTCTGAAGTATGATTTAAGTAAGATATCAGTTTCTTGGATTTGTTTCTTCGAAACAATTTACTTACCGATCAAATCCCATAAATTTATTAAAATCTTTTTTAACTGGTTCTGGAAGCAGTTTTTTCGTGGAATTTAATGAATCTTCTTCTGAACCAAAACCCGTGTCTATACACAAAATCAAAAATAAAATAAATTTTTTTTTTTTTTTTTTTTTTGTTATTCAACTTATATTCTTACATGGATAACTTTGTTTCAATGTCTTATAATCATTATCTTTTTTATAATTAATTGGTGTAAAATCTTGTACACCATATTTTGTACGATAGTAATTTTTTGTAAATTCATCACAATCAGTTAATAAAACTTTACGTCCATAGACATTAATTAATTGACCTATAGATAAATCTTGATCAGTATAATACTTTTGATCAATAGCACCTGTCTATATAATTTAAACATAAAAATTATTTATTTATTTATTGTTTGTTTGTTTGTTTTATTTACTTTAAGATTATCAAGAATCCAACGTTGTTTATTTAATTGTCCAAATACATTAAGTACTGTACGTGGAGCATTTTCACCTGGCAAACGTAATCCATTAAAATCTTTTGGTAATTTATTTCGAGCAAGATATGTTGGTGGTGCATCACGACCAGAATTTGGTGGAAGAATTTCACGGATTTCCATTGTATCATCTATTAATAAGAGAAAAAAAGAATTTTTTTTTAAATAAAAAAATCTTGTTGTTTCTTTTCTTTTTCTCTCGTTTGTTACCTGCAAGAAAATAATTTATGACAAAATTTCGTACATCACCATATAAACTTTCTGTATCATCCCAAACACCCCAAAAACGTAAGACATGTGTATCATGATTAATAAATTGTTTTAATGTATCAATTCTTTCATATGGACGAAGTGGATTTTGAGTACCATCAGCCTAATAAATTTAAATTATGCATGAGATCAAAGTAATAGAATATTGATCGGAATTTCAAAATAGATATTATCGAAAAATATCAAATAATTTTAAGGGTAAATGTTGAGTGCGAACAAAGATATCGAGTCAGAAAGACTAGGTCAGTTACATAAAATAGCTTTGAATGATTCATATCTTCTCCTATCTAGCTGATGATGACTCTATTTGTTTGGTCTTGAAATTTAATTAGTGAAAAGACTTATTGACATTATTGCAACTCGTTGATTTCCTGACCTTGATTTTTCCGAAACAATTGCTGCGAGGCTTTCAGTTCTTGTCTTACTATATAGAAGGCTACCTCGGTTGTTACGCTATGCAAAAAAATTAATAATATAAGCTGTTTGATAAGGGTATTATTGGTATGAATTAGGTAATGACCTGAAACATTTTAAGAGACAATTTCAGCCAAGCAAAAACCAGTAGAAATAAGTTAAATTACGCGTTTTTATGACGAAAATAAGAAAGTGTCGAGAAAAATAACGCGCCATCAGTTTCAAACAGGGTACGAGCAGACTTACTGTTTGTAAATCTGATAGCTCAACTACTTCCATCGAATGTGTCTCATAAAAATTTCAAACATAAACTTCAAATGAGTACAAAATTTTCCGTTGATTCCTTTAATGCATCGAAAAATTAAAAAAACTATTTTCTCTAGAAACTTTCGTATCAACTGTTATTCCAATATTGAAAACACAGACGACACTTCTTTCATAATGACTCCAGATGTTCATTCATTGCAAATGTTTTTTCTTTACTTTATCGCAATAAGATCGTTTACAATATTTTTAGAGTTTTTTTTTTTTTTGTATAACAAGGTCTTCTTAGGATTTTTCTCTCTAGATATTATATAACTTTTACTCATTTGTTGTTAAAGAGGTACAATCATTAAGATTGATACTCGTTTGCTAATACTTACCACTTGACGATGTTTAAGAAATGGATCTTCCGGTGCCGAAAAACCTAAGCATCAATTTCTTTTTTTGTTATTGAATAAATCATTCAATACTTTTTATTTCATACCTGGTGGTACACGTACACCAAGTTTTGTTAAAAAGTTTCGTGTAAATGAATCACAATCAATTAATTTGTATACACGTCCATATAATGATACTTCAGCTCCAACATTAAATTGATCATATGTATAAAATCGATCATCATTGGGTGCTGGTAATGGTACACGATGACGTTTGAGAATTGTACCCTGAGGAAAACCAACATTATTTTGGCGTTGTTCAACAACTAAAAAATAACAATACTTATATTATCAAATAATTGTATTAGTAGACTAAAAAGACCTTGAACAGTGTCATCTTCTGGATAAAAATAAACTCGACATTTTCGAATGCGATATTGTTCTTGTGGACGTTCAGTTATTGATTCTTGAAAATAAGCATCAAAACAAAGAACTTGTTTATCAAAAGCAAGCCAAGCTGGTCGATCAGGTCCTTCGCCTAGAAAAAAATTTTAATAATGATGAATTGATAGTTTATCTAATGTTTTATTTTATTTTACCTCGTGGATAAACAGAATTTTTCGGTCGAAGATCTTCACCTGCTAATGGTACACCACCAACACCCAATTTATTACCTGTTAACATACCTACACCATTGTATTTATCAAATTGATGTGTTAAATGAAATTTATCTTTGCCAATCTTAGAAAAACAAAAAGAATATTTAATTATTTTCTTGTCTTGAATTAAAAAACCGATAATTACTTTTCGTTCAAATGTGTTGCCAGGTAAAAATGGTAACGCCATGTTTGATCAATAAAAGAACTGATACTGTTGTCGAGTGAAGTAGCTTTTTTTTGTGCTATATGCATGTGAAAAACATTCGTAAACATGGTCGTTAAGCAATGGACTTCGTCTTATACAACTATAAGCGACCTCTTTTTATTATGAAAAAATTAATTATATTCGCGAGGTAGATTAATTAATGTTTGAACTTCTCGTAATATGATATGAATTCTTGAAGCGTTAATGAATATAAACTATTTTTAGATAAAAAAAAGAAAGGAAAGATTATATCAAGTTAATAAATTGAAAAGAGAGAAAGAAAGAGAAGAAGCAATAAAAATAGGAATGTTTGCATGCATCTATATTGCTTATAAGTTTTGATAGACAAGCGTTTTCTATGCAATGGAACATTTTTTTTTTCAGGAAAACATGTATAATTAAATTAAAATATAGATTAAGATCAATATTGACTGACTTTAACACGTCTTATTTTTTTATGACGAAATTTGACAAAGAAAAAAATTCATATAATTATATGATACTGATTGATAAAATGTGACCTTAGCATTAATTTGATGTCATGCAATGCTATGGAAAACAGAAAAAAATGTCTATGATCCTTATGTTCTCAGACGATTATCTTGCTTATATACCAACAATATTCAGACTATGAAAGCATAAACATAGTAATGCATAGAGCTAGAACAAATAGACAGGAGAACAGCCAGAAAAAAAAAATAAGTGCGAACAACATTCTCTTGTAATGGGAATATGAAGCTGTTCTTTGTCGGAATATAATTGAAGTTTATATTTGAAAGAGTGCGAAAAAATATTCTATCGCTTTTATTATTTTTCTTTCCCTTGTCTTTCAGTTGTTGTGTTGCATTGCAATCAAGTATTAATTTGACAGCACCCTATGAGCTGTTTCCTGCATAGAAAATCAAGAAAACCAATTGTTTTGGAGTTGTGATCCCGACACAGTCGCGCATGTATTTACAAAAAATAATGTTTACAGACGATGCCGAGTATTGGACTTCTTCATCGATCGACTTTATATCAATATATATTTTGACAACTATATCTGTACATCAATATGATATGGCCTTCTGTTTATTGTTATTTTTGATGTCTTTGTTGTTGTTGTTGTCGTTGAGGTAGTGTTTGAAGAGGTGCGAACCCACAAAAAGGATAATTATTACCATCACCATATGTAATCGTGACTTGAGTGTAGATAAGAATTTACATACACAGAAAAAAAAACTACTGATTCTGTATTTTTTGTTAGTTTTTTCATATACTAATCTAGTGAAAAAAACTAAACGAAGAAAAACAGGTATATTCGGATGTGAATGACATAACCAATAAATCAAAAAGAAAGTAGTAACAAAAGACATTTTAAAAGGAATATTTCGAAAATTAACCATCTGTATGCAAATAATAGGTGTTAGTAACATAAAAATTAGAAGGGTGAAGTAACCTTTTTTACCCATTTTTTTTTCTTTTTTTTTTAATCCTATGATTAAATACTAATTTTTGTATAGAACACTACTTGGCCGTATTATGAAGCACATCGAGCGAAAGATTTTTCTTACAAGGCATAAAACCAGAAATGAGGAAAAAAAAGAAAAGAATTTGATAGGAAAATCAATTATTTTATTTGATCATGTTTAAGATGAGTTTGAGTCGGAAAGATGCTTGTTTATATATTTTTTTCGGAATAGAATCATTTTTTCCGAGACAAATATAATTCTATCAAACAGTACTCAAAAGACGAATGAATAGCTAATTGTACGAAGAGAGAAAAAAAAACTCAACATTAAATTCTCAATCAGGTATTTTGTTTTTTTTTATCTGTTGTTAAAATAAATCTTTGTTAAGAAGCATGTCAATCTTTGTTTTTTTGTTATTTTTGTTGTTGTTGATGATGTGTTTATTATTTTCTGTTTATGACAGCAAGTCAACTCTTCCTGAAAATCAGAAAGAAAAGAGCAACGCATCATATGTAGAAGCCACGGGAACAAGATAGTAATAACCAAAAGAGAAAAAAAAAAGAGAAATGATGAGGACGTAAAAAAAAAAGAAAATACACAAGATTTCAAGGATTACCAGTGTAGATTGAGAACTACTATTGTCATACGTCATAAGTAATGCATTTATTCACATTGCTCTATAAAACACATATTCATTGCTTTGGGCTAAACAAGTTCGTATACAACATCTTCTATGATGATGTTATTTTTTGTTTAGCATGTACGTCGTTACTAAGAATATGACATTCTTCTTATGTGTCCTTATATTTATATTATGAGAAATTAACAAATAATAGAAATACGTGAAATAATGATCTGTTTTCTATTTTTCTGTTGATGATTTTCTCTCTTATATTTTAGATGAGGAACAATCAAGTTATTTTCATATTCTCTTTTCATAATGTAGTTTTATGTTTCTCTATGATTCAAACATTACTAACAATCTATCCAAGACTAACGTAGCATTCGCAATAACAACGAATTACTTCAGAACGACAAACTACGAGCAAAGAAGAAAAAATCTCAAGAACGCAACAAGTCCGCCTAGATTATAAGGAAGCATTAAAGAAACGATACTGCTGTCATTATTATTCATATATCTTCTACGATTACTGCAGCTACTATAATCAATACATTTTTGCTACTTGATTATCAGGTAGTTGGAGAAAGGGAAAAAAAGGCAAATAGAATAGGAAATAGGATTCTTTCCTGTTTATTTTCTTATTTTTCTAATAAATAAATTATTCATTCTTGTCTTAGAATTATGGCAACAGTAACTGAAGGAAACGAGCAACAACCAGAACAAACATTTAATTCACTAAATCGCTCACCTTATCATGTCAAATTTAGTGATAATAATCAAAGTTTTCCACAACAACAAATTAACACAAATCAAGACAATATATCATCATCGTCTCGACATGGTTTGTATTTAAAAAAAAAACAAATGTTTTCCCCTTGTTTTTTTTTCCTCAATAAAGAAAAAAACAGGTCTTCTATAATTGTTGGATGATGATGGCGATGATGATAAGAAATCTACTATGTATGGTTAATTGCTCTTTCATGTGTTTTTCCGACGCGCACGTTTTATTTTTACTGGAGTGAAGAAGAAAAATGTCAGATTCAATTATTTGCTCTTTAATTCTTTTTATAACCGTAAAAACGTAGAAAGTGCAAAAAAAAAGAAATTGAAATACATTCATTTGAATTATTGAAAGTAAAATAAGAAGGAGCGATTAAGGTGTAATGAGTGAGCAGACAATAGTTTTATTCAAAGAAAAAAAAAATACAATTAATCTATTTTTGTCTTTTCTTAGGCTCATTATCATCTACTGAAAAAAGTGGGCGTTTTGTTGTTGTTAAATCATCTGAAGTATCGGATACAAATGAGAATGGTAAATTAGAAATATTTAATAGATATATATGTGAAAACAAAAAGAATTTTTTTTAAGATGCAATTAATAATATAAATTCAACAACTGAAAATGAAAAACTACCATTACAAACTGGACAAACATCTGATACTTCCATTAAATTAAATGAAAGTATTTATGAAGTATGTAAATGTTTTTTTTTCATTAGGCAAAAAAAGCATAAGAAAATTTTTATTTGAAGGAACGTGATGATCGACCACGAACAGTACTAGATCAACTATATAATTATAAAGGTGGTATTGTACCAAATGCGGCAGAAGCTGACAAACCAGCAGGAAATCAACAGGTTTGTTTGTAATAACGCAAAAGCAAATATAAAATTTCTTATTATAGAAATCAGCAAATCTTGGTACAATATTTGGTGTTTACCTTCCATGTGTTCAAAATATATTCGGTAATATATATTTTTAAATTATAAAGTTTATTTCAATTTTTTATTTTTTTGAGGTGTTATTGTATTTATTCGTCTTTTTTGGTTAATTGGTATTGCTGGTGCACTTCAAACACTTTTAATTGTTCTTATTTGTAGTTCATGTGTATGAAGAAAAAAAACTTGTTTAATAAGATTTATTTTCTGTTTTTTTTTTTATTCAGACTCTTCTAACAGCTATTTCAATGGCAGCTATTGCTACAAATGGTTTAGTACCAGCCGGTGGAGCTTATTTTATGATATCTCGTTCACTTGGACCTGAATTTGGTGGTGCCGTAGGAATATTATTCTATCTTGGTAATACATTTGCTGCGTCGATGTATATTGTTGGAGCTGTTGAAATTGTCGTCGTATGTAAAATTTTAATCCATAGATTCTTCTTTTGTTTCTTTAAATTTTTTTGGTTTTTTCTTAAGAAATATATGTGTCCAGAAAAATGTCGTCTATTTGGTGATGATGTTGAAAAACCATTAATAGCCTTTAATCATTATCGTATATATGGTACTATACTTCTTCTACTTATTGGAACATGTGTTTTAATTGGTATTCGATTTGTAACAAAAATTGCTCCATTTTCATTGTTTGCTGTTGTTATATCTATATTGGCTATATATGCTGGTGTTATTAAAAGTTCATTTAGTCCACCAGATTTACCGTAAATTGAATTACTTTTTTTTGTCTTATGTTAAAAATTAAATTCAAACAAAAAAGAAACAATTTATTCTGTTTTTTTTTTTCTTTCAAAGTATTTGTCTTGTTGGTTCAAATCCAAGTCATTTAATAAAATCTAATGTATTAAATAATGATATACGTCGTTATTGTCATGCAGATAAATGGTGTAATGAGGGTAATGAAACTATACCATGTCCACTTTATGCATCTATATGTAATAAAACAATAAATACATTATGTTCATCAGATGGTCATATAAATGATGTTCGAATTGAACAAGGTGTACCTGGCTTAAAACATTGGCAATTATCCGGTACGTTTATTTCGTTCTTTTTTCTTTTAATTAAATACAGAATAAAGAATTTAGTTTTATAGAAAATCTTTTTTCACATTATCGTGCTGAAGGTGAAATTGAACGTGATATAAAAGGTGATGCAACATTTGAAGTTGTTGCACAAGAATTAACAACGTTTTTAATACTTGTTGGTATTTATTTTCCATCGGTTACCGGTAAAAACAAAAATAAAAGATTACTTCTTTTGAAATATACAATCAATAAATATTTTATTAGGTATTATGGCCGGTTCAAATCGTAGTGGAGATTTACGTGATCCAAGTCGAAGTATTCCACGTGGAACTATTGCTGCTATATTAACAACATCATTCGTTTGTATGAATAGTTTTATTAATAATGGAGAAGCCGCAAGTTTTGAAATAAAATGTTTCTTCATTTGTCGATGAATTTAGAAGGTCAACAAAATGTTTAAAAGATAGAATTAGAATCAAAATCTATTGCTCTTTCGAAATCTCAGTTATATGTAAATCAATGGAAGGCTGAAAAATCAAATTCTGATAGGTTTTAGAGAGTTTTCATGCCTTTCTAAGAGTTTTTCATAACTCCTGAAATATGAATCAAATCAAAAATTTCGAACATAGATTCGGAAAGAGCATGAAACTTTGATTTAAAGCCAATAACTTATAGCTTTTACTAACTATCTTAATCAGTTGAAGAATGAAGAAACATTTCATGTCAAAACTTTCGGCTCACTCGTGTATCAGTCGCGGATCTAAAATTTTGATAAATAGGAGTGATCATAGTCGCAAAACGTACTTTCAAGTCTAATTAGAGATCACAACGACTCATCTTGGAGTATTTTTACTGAAAAAACTCCAAAAATAGGTTGGAAAAAGGGACAATTGCCCATCAGTGTTCTTTTCTTAATCCGTTACTGATTATTATGACTTACAGTTGTCTTTAATCTACTATTATTATTTTCTTAGATTTATCAAACGTAATTTTTTTGGCAGCATGTACACATGGCTCATTATTAAGAGATAAATTTGGTGATAGTATTAATAAACAATTAGTCGTGTCAGTTTTAGCATGGCCAAGTAAATGGGTTATTATGATTGGAGCATTTTGTTCAACTGTTGGAGCTGGTTTACAAACATTAACAGGTATAAATTTTCAACGAAAAAAATAGTTTATTTATCTATTTGATTGTGGTTTTTTTTTACGAAAAAAGGTGCACCAAGACTTTTACAAGCTGTTGCTAAAGATGATTTAATACCAATACTTCGTCCATTAGCAAAATCTTGGCGAGGTGAACCAATACCAGCACTTTTTCTTACATTATTTATTTGTGAATGTGGAATATTAATAGCTGATGTCGATAAACTTACAGCACTTCTATCAATGTAAATAAGAAACAAAAAATAATCGATTATTTAATTGTACGATCAATATTTTCATTAGATTATTTGATCTATGTTGAAAAATATTGATAATACAATTTTCTATTTGTATAATCATATAAAAATCTAAACAATGTTTTCTATACATTCTTTTAGGTTTTTTTTATTATGTTATGGATTTGTTAATTTAGCTTGTGCATTACAAACTATTTTAAAAGCACCTAGTTGGCGACCGCGTTTTCGTTTTTATCACTGGTAAAATCACAAAAAAAAAAAAAAAACAAAAAAGATCCTCATTATGTTATTTATTTTTCTTTAGGATTCTTTCTTGTATAGGTGTAGTTCTTTCTGTTTCAATTATGTTTATTGCTTCATGGTATTTTGCTTTTATTGCCATGTTGATTGCAATAATCATATATAAATTTATTGAATATAAAGGGTATAAAACTAAAAAAAGAACATATCTTTTGAAATTTTTTTCATCGATATGTTTATATATTAATATTTAGAGCGGAAAAAGAATGGGGAGATGGTATACGTGGTTTATCAATGTCAGCAGCTCGTTATGCATTATATCGTGTTGATGAAGCTCCACCACATACAAAAAATTGGAGACCTCAATTACTTGCATTCATTAGTATTAAAAGAAATGATGAGAATGAAACATATACATTACGTCATTCGAAAATATTCAATTTTCTGTATCAACTTAAAGCTGGTATATATACATATAAATTAAATATAAATATCATTTATCTATTATTTGGTAATAGGAAGAGGTTTTGTTGTCGCAGCCAATGTTCTTGAAGGTGATTATCTTGAAAAACATCAACAGATTGAACCAATTCGTGCAGTAAGTATTACTTTAAAAGCATACTGTAAATAGAGATAGTAGCACAATATTTTTCTTTATGGAAGGCTCAAGAAAATTGTTTTTTTCTCTCTACGTATATACCGATACATCAGACAGTTTTTTATAATTCTATAATATTTAGTATTTTTCTAATAGCATGATAATAGCAGATTTTCGATCAAAGCTGTTCAACTATGATTTACATAGATTATAAAAACTTTCAGAAAAATCTGTCACTGAACAATATCGAAAAACATCGAACGGATCCATTGTCGTAGGATAGGTCACTCTTCGTTTTCAACTTCTTTTCGTTCTGCATGAAACCATGCATAAAATCTTTAAACTATTATGAGAGGCAGAGCCTGCTTGCTAAAATCAAAATTGAGTGCATTATGAACTTAGATATAGGAACGAAAGTTTTTCTTCTTTATGTAATCATAGGGGAATAGCTTTGATCGAAATTCTAATATTTATCATACTAATTCAAGAATGATGAACCATTGGTAGTATAGAGCCTTGTTTGAACTATCAGAATATATACTATATATAGCTAATTGCTGCAAGGCTTCTATGAGATATAAAAGGTATTACGGTCACTACATTTGACATACCCTAAGTATATTATAATTAATGAAATAAACATTAACTTTTCAAAGATTGCCTAAAAATTTCATAAATTTCTTGAGTATTACTATCTAATTATATTTATCAGAAAAGTTACCTAGTATATAAATAAAATGAATTTTATATTAATGATTAACATGAACTAAGAAAAACTTTGTCTCATGCATGGAAATCAGAATTTTATGCATGATGTAGCTTTCGCAGAGATACCGATGGTTGGGATTAAGTTCAGCTTGATTCTATAATTCCTTTTAGGTAAATTTGAATAATTAAATCACTCATCATTTTAAAATTTTGCATATACCATTTCTATAAATCTACAACTATAAGTTTTTTTAATGCTATTGATAATTTTAGTTATTAAAATCTGGTTTGGCTCAAGCTAAAATACAAGGCTTTGCTGAAGTATTGGCTGCTAAAGATGTCGAAGATGGTCTTAGTACATTGTATGTAGACTTTTATTTAGAAATTTAACTTAATATTCTTATGATTTTGTGAAGCACGATCTAAAAAGGAATGCTGTAGTATATTGGGTAGAAATATGCGTTTTCGTCCCCCATAGACCATGACAGATGCGATTGACAGTTTGACATACACGTTAATAACGAAAGGCATAATATAACAATGTTCTTGGGATTAGCAACTACAAGCTATATCGTGTTTCATATTTTAATCCCTCAAGAATTGCGCTCATAGCTTGTTGTTTTTTTCTGCTTTTATATAGAATTCAAACGGAAGGTTTAGGTGGTTTAAGACCAAATACAATTGTTATCTGTTGGCCAACACAATGGAGAAAAGATTTTGATAGCTTTACAGCTGAAGCATTTATACGTATGGAAATGGATTTTGTTTTTGTTTATTGATTTTTCATTATAGAAATATTGAATAGGTACTATTGCTATTGCTGAAGTTCGTCAATGTGCTGTAATTGTTCCGAAGAATATTGATAATTTTCCTGATTTGAAAGAAAATCAAGATGGTACAATTGATATATGGTGGATTATACATGATGGTGGTCTTCTTTTTCTTATTGCTTTTCTATTAAAACGTAATAAAGTTTGGTCACATTGTCGTATACGTCTATTTACTGTGACACAAATTGAAGATAATTCAGTTGCTATGAAAAGAGATCTTGAAAAATATATGTATCAATTACGTATCCAAGCAGAAGTTGATGTTGTTGAAATGGTTTGTTGTTTTGTTTTGATATTTTTGATAAAAATAATAAAAGATATTTTATTTTTAGGCCGATCAAGAAATTTCAGCTTATGCTTATGAAAGATCACTTAGATTAGCTGAACGTATTAAACTACTGAAAGATTTGAAATTAGGTGATAAAGATCTCCAACTTCAAGTAGGTTATATAAAAATATCAAAATTTTTATTATTGAATAATGAAATACTAAATATTATCACTGCATATGTTTATATAGGCAATAGGATTTGAACGACGAGCGAGCAAAGTAATAATTTGAGATGAATATAGCGATCTTCTATATGTAATAGTTAGCTATTTATTGATTTACTAATATAATTATACCTTTTTGTTTTAATTAAAGCATGTCATGTGATTTGTGCTGCTTTTACCTTGTTATTTAATAATTATTTTATCTAGAAATACTTTTGTTTAATTTTTTTAGTCTCAAATACCTATGGAAACAATAATAAACAGTCAACAACAACAACAACGAAGATCTAGTTTTGATGATTCAAATAATCAATATCATTATACATTTACACCCAATCAATTGGAAAGTTTTAAACACAATGTGTAAGTATGAAATTAAAAAGAAATGTACAATAAAACGAAAACAAGAAAATTTTCCTAGAACTGAATCATCTATGCGTAAAATGCATTCAGCTGTAAGACTCAATGAACAAATTAAAGAACGTTCACGTGATGCTAAACTTGTTCTTATTAATCTTCCATCACCACCAACAAAACAATCAACTTTAGCTGCATATTCTTATATGGAATACGTTGATGTATTAACAGAAGGTTTAGATAGATTATTATTAATGCGTGGTAGTGGACGTGAAGTTATTACAATATTTTCTTAAGAGATTAGTGTTCTTTTTTACACAGTATCTCAATTGATAAACATTCAATACTATGTTTTCTTCTTTGTCTCCGTTGTGTGATTTTTTTTTGTAGTCATCGTTTCAATGTACATGTGTGTTGTGTTGATAGTCATCTAGTATGAAGTATTTTTAGAATTTCAATTGAATGTGTCTTTTTTTTTTTGTAACCATATAATCTTATATTTTGAAATATTCTTTTTTTTTGCTCGTAGTAAATACTGTATCGAAATATTGGCCTTTTAGTTTTGTTGACAAACACAAAATTAAAAATGTCAATATATTTCAACGAAAGTCGTTTTTTTTTTAATAATTACGTTTGTCTATTTCAATAGAGTAAAGTAGAATTTTTTCTGAGACATGGGCCAACAGAGGAATCTAAGAGAATATATTAGTCATAGATGAAACATTGTCTACGAAGGATAAATAATAAATAATCAAGAATATGATAATTAAACTCAATAGACTATGATCGGAAAGACTTAATTACATAAATATTTCGTAGACATGTAAGTTTGATGATCTGGTTTTTTAAGATTTGATAGTCACAATAAAAATTTCTTAAAGTCATGTAAAATTTTTATTTGGACTCAATTAACTTCTATTTCTTACTCATATGAATTACTCAAACTTAATTTAAACATGGAATCATAATTAGATGGATTTTGTCGAAAAAATAAAACTGAACAAATACGACTTGGATATAGATTAATTCAGTTAAAAATAAAAGAATGTATTACAAGAAAAAAGGATTACTATACGTGACTAAGTTTACAATAAAATCTAGTAATTATATTTTGTCTTATAAACTCATGAAATATATAAAGTATACAATTACATGTGAAGTGTATGACAATATTGAGAAGAGTATCTGAAAACTAATTTATATTTTAGTCCTAACATATTTAATTACAAACAAGAATGAATATTGAAAAGATTTTTTTCTTATAAAAGTTTAAATCTTACATTTAAAATTATGATCGTTTTATAAATAACAATATTATACACAAGTTATTTCAAACTTTTCATGTTCATAAACGTTACAATATGTATCAGACAAAGTATTGAACTTGTTCTCATTATGTTAAACAAGCAAGACTTATTTATTTGAATGAATTCATCAGAATAACAGATCTATTTTTCTATTAAAAAAATGACAGATAAGATATAAGTTGTAAGAAGAATAGAAAACATCTATAAAATTGTAAGAAAAAGTTCGTCAGAAGACCAACGATATCCGTGGCAGGAATATTCTAGATTTTGAATTTGATTATTTCATTTGAAAACCTACAAAAAACTTCTTATGAAAGTTCAAACATCGACTCATTCTGGTTTAGTTATAAATAAATAGAAAGGACCACAATTCTCTACAATTTCAAATCATACAGAAAAAATTGACTTTTTCAATTATGGTTCTATTTTGCAAGTTTCTCCTGCGTTGTTTGCTGATTTGAGGCATAAAACATGTCAGAAAACATAGATTTTATTTTCTCTACAAATAAAGACTATTTCCATTGTATTTTGAATGTCATTTTTATGAGTAAGGGATCAAATCCGAGAAAAATCAGAATGTCGCTTTGGTCATGAATTTTAGATAGATTGTAGCTCTAAACATGACATATCCTTTGGTATATTATCCTTTGAGAGATTTTACCAGAAAGTTATAACACTTTGCTTCATTAAAGATCGAACATGGTATTGTTTCATCATTTTATTAACATAGCATTACTGAATTATTTGATGAATGATTCGACAATGCAATCGTTGAGATAGTTTAAAGCCTTTCAATCCGACAAATAATATGAAGGCCTAAGATTTAGAAATTATAGAACTAAGAGTCACACCTTATTAGTTGACGCCGATATAGGTATCATTAGATTTTACCAAGTGTAACATAAACTATTAAAATAGAACCCTAATTTTTTTCCATGGGCGTTCTGTCACTATAACAAATGAACGAGTGTTATTCAACTATCTAAAACATATACTAATCTTTACGTAGTGACAACAGAAAAGTACTAATCGAGAAAACATTCTGTTAATTAAAAAAGTATTTGTATAATAAAAAGTGCAAGACGGATAAAAAAAAATAAATTACAGGTAGCGGACTTCAATGAAGTCACATGAGACTAAGTATTACAACTGCCTAAAACTAAGTGCAATCACTTAATCTTCCTCGAGCTTTATGTTTGGCGTTAACCATAACAATACATCGACCTTGGAAAAAATGATCTAGCACAGATATACAGTAAAACCTCGATTAGTGAACACTTTCCAACTCTGAACATGAACACTATTTTTCGGCTCCCTCAGCAAAAAAACCTCTATAAAGTAAACGCACATGGAACAAAGTATGCGTGTGTTTATGAAACAAGAGAAAAAAGAGAACACAGTATTCATTCTGAAGCGATGATAGGCCAACTCATTGACGATCTATTCATCACAAGAAAATTCGTCATGTGTATGGAACAAAAAGAGCAATGAAAATGCATAGTTCGATCTGTCACATATAAAAGAATATTGCACTTTTCTATTCACACACAATTGTAGCATAACGATACGACACGCATTGACCCTCTCTGAAGAAACACTATTAATGCGTGAGAATGAAGAGAAATTTTCATATCGTACGCTTGCCGACAAGTATAAGATCTCGATCGGCAGTGTATCAAACATTACCAAGCGAAAGGTCGAGTATATGGAAAGTTATGAACAAAACGAGAATTCAACCAAAAAGCGTAATCTACGGGATGAATTCAGTCAACAACTCGATTAAAAAGTGTATGAATAGTCCGTAGCGCAATGCAGCAAGAACGTTTCAGTTGCAGGTCCACTTCTACAAGAACGAGCCCGACAAATCCATCGACAACAGGGTGCAACGGCTGCCGACGACTTCAAGGCAAGCAGTGGTTAGTTAGAAAAGTTTCGAATACACCATGGCATACAACACCAAGCCATATGTAGAGAATCAATAGCAGTGAATTCTACAACTATTGACGACTGAAAAAAGCGACTTCCATCCTCATATCAATGTGTTAGTTTCGAATTGGAAAAACCTTGAAAAACAGCTACTAGAAAATACTAGCCTATTGAAAGATGCGTTTTTTTCATTATAGAAAACATATCCTAGAGTCATTTCAGTGCTCTTTTGGAACATTATTTTAAAAACATTTCTTAGGTTTGTATAGTAATTAAAAAGTTTCTTGGCTTATGCACAGTTTTCGAGAAACACAGAAACGTTTTTCTCGTGAACCAGTGCATTCATTAATGAAGAAAACATATTTTCAGATATACGCGTCGAAGTTTGTTCTATAAAGTACTCCTTCTGAATCTGAGAAGTCATTTTTTGAAACATACAAAAGTAAAACTGTGAATGTGTTTTCACCTGCTGTTTCTCTTTAAAGTGTTTCTTTACACAATATCATATTCATTCAAGTTAGTTTAGGTCTCATAGCTATGCTAGTGGTACATCTTAATGAACGCATTCGATCTAAACTATTCAAATTTCAGCATAAGCAACTGACTTAAATAAGTTTGACAAAAAAAAATATTTTATTCTTTTGTGTTTAGTTATTTAGCTATTGAGAAGGTGAAATGTTGCATGTGGTAGATCTTATTCTTTACATCAAAGAGTGCTATTGAACATAATACCAAAATGCTAAGGTCTGGTGATTACATTATTCTAATAACACTTTTCTTACCAACGATTTTCTTAATTTTTTTGACAGGATATTGTCTAATCAAATAGAAACAAAGCAACAATTTAGTAGTATGAGCGGTAGAAAAAGGAAAACTTATAGAATATGTTGATCAATAGTTATAGATACAAAGAAATTCTTTAAATTATGAAAATTAACGAGATTAAGAAGTGAAAGTGTTTCAATTGTTTTTCATCATATATAATACCCTACTTTTGTTTTACCCATTCAATTATAAATTGAAAAATTCTTAATTTTCTTTAAACTCAATAATTATATGAATCGAAAGTTTGAACACTGAAAGATATAATCAATATTTGTCGAAAAGAAACATGGACAGTAGAAAATAAAAACAATAATAGACTAGAGAAGTGCCGAATTAATACGTGTTAATTGTAGAGGCATACAAATGACGATTAGAAAAGTGTATCATGAATTATATGCATGACGATGAAGAAAAACTAAAGCAATAGAAAAAGCCATGACAACACAGTAGTTCAGAAGCCGTTTGATTATTACTACTGTGTCGATGAACCATCTTTATGGCCAGGTATATTTAATGATGAGTCTTCTTATCACCAATCTATCCACACAATGAAATAATTAATGTTTAGACAAGAAATTTCACCGCATCTACTATTATTAATAACTATGGGCCGCTAATTATTGCCCAGCCTGATCTTGGGACTTGTATAGCGTAAAATCATGACATAAAAATACGATGATCTGTATAAGAAGTTCATAGTGCTGTCAGAAATCATCAATTGAATTGCAAAAGAATTTAACAATGCAAATGGCAATACTTGAACAAGATTCAATGGTTCAAAACGAGAAATGGTCTTGACCGACAACAATTTAACAATGAAAAAAAGACTAAAATCACACCAGTCTTCTATCTAAAATTTTATTTCGAAACACAAGTTCCTCCGATGACACAATGAGCGTGTGAATGTGCGTCAAGAGTACACCCACACATCTTACTAACATCAGTTACAAAGAAAATTATCTGTAGATAGAAATGAATAAAATAAGATCTCGTTTTCTGGGTAATATGCCATACAGTTATCAAAAATAGCAAACCTGAAAATCTGCCAGGACCCTACGGAAATCAAATAAGATAAAGAGGATATCTGACTTCGACTTTAAAATGGGCATGAAGAATTAACTATGAAGCTAAGTAACGTAAAACAACTTCGGTATAAACCAACGTGTAGAAATCGACATTAGAAACAAACAATGCCCTACGTTGACAATATCATTCTCTCTCCTGTCAACTTGATTATG